TGAATACAGATGAAATAATTCTCAACAAAATTTCTAGCCAATAGAATTCAACAGCATATGAAAAAAATTTTACATCATGACCAAGTGGGATACATACTAGGTATGCAAGATGATTCAACATCAGAAAATCAACGTAATCCACCACATGTACAAAGAAAAGAAAAGACTCACATGATCATCCCAATCAATGCTGAGAAGGCATTTGACAAATCCCAACACCCATTCCTGATTTAAAAAAAAAAAAAACTCTAAGCAAAATAGGAATAGAAGGGAAATTTCTCAACATAAAAAAGGCATTTATACAAAACCAACAGCCAACATTATTCTCAACATGGAGACTGAAAGCATTCCTCTCGAGAATAGGAACCAGACAAGGATGCCCTTTATCACCACTCTTATTCAACATTGTGCTGGAAGTCCTAGCATTCAAATTGTTAAGGAAGAAGTAAAAATATCCCTATTCGCAGATGATATGATCCCATACATAGAAAACTCCAAAGATTCCACAAGAATGCTACTGAACTAATAGAAGGATTCAGCAAAGTAGCAGAATACAAGATCAACATACAAAAATATGTTGGATTCCTCTACATCAGCAAAGAGAACTTTGAAAAGGAAATCAGGAAAACAATACCAATTACAATAGCCCCCTAAAAGACAAAATACTTAGGAATAAATCTAACCAGGGACATAAAAGACCTATACAAATAAAACAACAAAACACTATTGCAAGAAACCAAAAGAGACCTACATAAGTGGAAAAACATACCATGCTCATGGATAGAAAGACTCAACATTGTGAAAATGTTAACACCACCCAAACCGATCTATAGATATAATGCAATTCCAACCCAAATACCAACAGCATTTGTTAAGAAGATGGAAAAACTAATCACCAACTTTGGAAAGGAAAGAGGCCCCAGATAAGTAAAGCATCATTGAAGAAAACAAACAAAGTAGGAGGCTTCACACTACCTGATCCCAGTACCTACTACATAGCCATGGTAGTCAAAACAGCCTGATGGTGGTACAATGACAGACACATAGACCAATGGAAAAGAATTAAGAACCCAGACATAAATCCACCCACCCTATGGACAGCTGATCTTTGACAAAGGGCCAAAGTTCATTAAATGAGGAAAAGATACTCCCTTTAACAAATGGTGCTGGCAAAACTGGATGTCCATTTCTAAAAAAATAAAATAGGACCCATACCTCACACTGTACGCAAAAACTAACTCAAAATGGATCAATGACCTAAATATAAAACTCAAAACTATAACGATCATGGAAGAAAAAATAGGGACAATGCTAGGGGCCCTAAAATATGGCATAAATAGAATACCAAACATAACTAAAAATGCACAAACAGGAGAAGATGAACTAGATAAATGGGACTGCCTAAAAATTAAACACTTAGCTTATCAAAAGACTACTCCAAAAGAGTAAAAAGAGAACTCACAGACTGGGAAAAAAATTTTGGCTAAGACATATCTGACAAGGGTCTAATCTCTAAAATTTATAGAAAACATCAACATCTCAACAACGAAAAGACAAACAATCCAATTAAAAAATGGACAAAGGATATGAACAGACGCTTCACCAAAGAAGACATGAAAAACAAACACATGAAAAAATGCTCGTGATCATTAATCATTAGAGAGATGTAAATCAAAACCACAATGAAATACCATCTCACCCAACATTACTGGCACTGATCAAAAAAAAACAGAAAATAACAAATGTTGGCAAGGTTGTGGGGAGACTGGAACTCTTATACACTTCTAGTGGGAATATAAAATGGTAAAACCACTATGGAAAATGGTATGGCGCTACCTCAAAAAGCTAGAAACAGAAATACCATATGATACAGCAATCCCACTCCTAGGTATATACCCTAAAGAAATAAGAGCTGTGGCACAAACAGACATGCACACCCATGTTCATTGTAGCATTATTCACAATAGCAAAAAGATGGAAACAACCTAAGTGCCCATCAACAGATGAATGGATTAACACACTGTAGTAATACACACAATGGAATACTACACAACGATAAAGAAAAATGATGAATCCACAAAGTATCTCACAACATGGATGAATTTGTATGCTGAGTGAAGTAAGTAAATCACAAAAGGACAAATATGAGATCACTATAATAAAAAACAAGAAGAAGTTTACACATTAGGAAAAAAAATTATTTGATAGTTACAAGCGATGGGAGGGTAAGGGAGGGAAAATTACCAAACAGATAGAAGACACACGTTAATATTGGTGAAGGGAAAGACAATACATAATGTGGAGGAAGTCGGCACAACATGTCCAGCGCAAAGGAGGTCACTGAGAGGAACGCAGGAACAAAGGGCAACAACAGTAATTAGTATAGCATAGACAATCCTGCAACAATAGTATTAAAACAATAATTTACAAATGGATATATAGGAAGATAGGTATGCCAAGAGGTGTGGGAGGGTGTAAGGGAACACACTCACCTGCAGATATACAGGTTTGATGGTGGATATTACTACATACTTAACTGTAGGTGCTTGTTATATATTAATATAGACAATGGAGCACACAAGAGCCACAGCCAGGGCAAACTCTTAGACATAACCCAACACCTAGGATGAAGTTCCTAGGCTCTAAGGCAAAGGACCATAGACTCAGGAGACATCTACATCAACCAGCACAACATAGTTCATAAAGACAAAGTTCTGCATCCTACTTTGGTGAGTAGCGTCTTGTCTTAAAAGCTTGCAAGCGGCCATCTAAGATACAACTATTGATCTCTGTCTAGAGCAAAGGGGAGTGAAGAAAACCAAAGACTCAAGGGAGCAATTAATCCAAAGGACTAATGGACCACATGTACCATGGCCTACACAACCCCGAGACCAAAAGTACTAGATGGTAACTGGCTACCACCACTGACCTCTCTGACAGGGATCACAAATGAGGGTCCCAGACAGGGCAGGAGAAAAATTGTAGAATGAAAAATCAAATTCACAAAAAAAAACAGACTTACTGGTCTAACAGAGACTGGAGGAACCCCCAAGACTATTGCCCTAAGACACCCTACTGAACTGGAATTGGAAACATTCCCAGACTCCACCTTTCAGCTAAACCATAGACAGGTCCATAAAATAAACAATAACACCCGAGAGGAAGGTGCTCCTTAGAACAACCAATTATATGAGATCAAAAGGGCAACATCTGCCCAAAAGCAAAAATAAGAAGGCAGGAAGGGGTAGAAAATCAAGACTAAAGGAAATGTGGAACCTAGGGCAGAAACGGGGAATGACATCAATGTCATGGAACACTTTATGTACAAACTATCAAATGGGAAATCAATTTGCTCTGTAAACTTTCATCTAATGCACAATAAAAAAAAAAAAATTTTATATAATAAAATGCCTAAAACAAACAACTCAGAAAAGGAGAGTGAGAATGGCTGCACAGCTGGAAGAATGTAATCAGTGTCACTGAAATGTACATGTAGAAGCCGCTGAATTTGTGTATGTTTTTCTGTGTATGTTCTCCACACAAAAAAGAAGTCTGAAATGAGATCTCTGCCCACATGGATCAGGAATAGGAAGAAAGACCAGACAATCCTCCTCCCTTAATGGAGAGTGCTGCTTGCAACAATGACTTTTGGAAGCACTAACACACACAGCATTTACCATCAGCTGAATAAATACCTGATTTCATGTTGCACAGTGCCCTCTCCAGCCTGGCTGCTTTAATCCTGGTCTTGCTATAGAATCATCCAAATACTAGCTCTACCTTTGGGAAGTTCCCCCTCTGGAGGACAGGCAGCAAAGAGCCTGCAGACCAAGTCTGACACGATCCTTCCCTAGAATGGGAAAGGTGGGAGGGAGACAGTTACAGGGCACTCTGGCTGCTGGGGAGTGTGTCAAAAGGCATCTCCAGAATAATATTGCCTCTGTCTTTAGCGCTCTTCCTAAGGCAGGCTTTACAGGGAACCTGTTTCTACCTTGATGATAATGTTAGTGTTGGCTGAAATCAGAGCTTTGGGGAGACGTTTTTTCTTTCTCAACCCCCAAACATGAGGAAGTACCCCAAAGCTCACTTCCAACCCTATAAGACTCATGTCTCCTCCCAACAGGCCCACCCTGGCCATGACCTGTCAATTTCCTCCAACTCTGTGTACAGAAACAAGACTGAAAACTACCTTTCAATAAAGTGAAAAACGCCTTTAGCAAGGCCTTGAATGACAAGTTACAGGGCTTGGACTTTGGTCTCCTGCAAGGCTTTGCTAAACGTTGCGCAGGTAAGAGTTGAGGCGAGGGTGTGAGAAGACCAGCGAACACACAACTTGATGACTTTCCTCCCTCCCGTAACCTCAATTTGAGTATGGCTTCTGCACCAGGAAGAGTTAGGGTCCGCCAGGCCCTGGGCGAAACCACACACCCGCTTTCCTTGGAAAAGGCTCAGTTCCTGCAGATAACATCGCTGCCCATAGGGACGCCTCTGCCCAGGAGGCCACTCAGGCTGCCTTGCGGTGACAAGCTAAAGGTGGCCAGATCCCTCCCTAGAGCGGGAATGGTGGGAGGGAGATAGTTAAAGGGCACTCTGGCTCCTGGGGAGTGTGTCAAAAGGCATCTCCAGAATAATATTGCCCCTGTCTTTAGCTCTCTTCCTAAGGTAGGCTTTACAGGGAACCTGTTTCTACCTTGATGATAATGCTAGTGTTGGCTGAAATCAGAGCTTTTTCTTTCTCATCCCCCAAAACGTCGGGCAGGGTCAGGAGAGATGGCCGAACAGAGAACTTTAAATGCGACCCCTTGACGGGCGGTTAGAAGCTGCTCACTCTGCGCCCGGGCGCGAGGTACAGATTCTCCCTCACCCTGAAAGGGGAGAAAGAGAGGCTCCCTCGACTTCTCATGGAAAACTCACAGGTCCCCCTTCAGTCCCGGGGCTGCGCCTCGCGCCGCCCGCCTGGGCCACCTGCCCTTCAATCAGTCCCTCCCGCCGCCCTGCACCTTGACCGTGTCCAGCGGGTGCCCCACGAACACCAGGCACATGCCACCGAAGCCGCCGGCCAGCAGGTTCTTGATAGGACTGATAGGCTTCGGCCTGTCAGCCATAATTCCTCCGCCCTGGTCTGTTAAGTCAGCCAGTCCGTAGCCTGTCTCCAGCCCGCCCCGCTCCGCCGCGTTGCCCTAGCCGCAGCGCCGGCGCTGCTGACCTTTCACCCACTTTCGGGTGGGCGGGGCGGAGGCCCAGGGCAAGTCAGGAAGAGGGCGCCCGCGATCCGGCCGGGCTTCCGCCGGGGGCTGCTTCCGGCGCTGGCCCCGCCCCCAATGGGCGTGTCCGAAGGGGGCGGGGCTGGCCCCGACGTAGTCTGGGCAGATATTGGCGCCCCCAGCCGGTGGATTTACTCCTCCAGGAAGTCTTCCCGGAGTTAAATGTTTCCTCCTCTGGACTTCCATTCATTCACTCGCTCCGCAGAGGTCGACTGCGCCCTTCCAGGTGCTGGAGGCACAGCCAGGAGCACAACACATAGGTTCCTGCCCTTGTGGAACTTACATAGCGTGTCAAATGGTGATAACTGCTATGGAGAAAAATAAAGCAGGGAAGAGTATTAAGGAGCAGGTGAGGCAAGTAATTTGCAATTTTAATTAGGTGAGTAAGGGAAGGTCTCACTGAGGTTACTCTGGATTCAAGAACTGAGAAGGTGAAGGAGTGAGTCCTATCCATAAACATGGGGTTGAGGGTGAGGGACCTTCCAGGCAGAAGGGAAAAAAATGCAAAAGCCCTGATATGGGCTGTGCCTGGCCCGTTTGAGAAACCACGGGAAGGTGTATATGGCTGGAGCAGAGTGAGGGACCGGGAGAGGAGTAGTTGATGAGGACAGAGAGGTGTTGTTGTTGTTAGGTGCCCTAGAGTTGATTTCAACTCATAGACTCCATGTGACAGAGTAGAACTGCCCCGTTTGGTTTTTCTTTATGGAAGCAGGTGCAATGTACTTTCTCCAATGGAGATGCTCCATGGATTCGAACCTGCCAACCTTTTGGTTAGCAGGCAAGTGCTTAACCTTTTGCACCAGTGGGGCCCCTAGAGAGGTCATGGGGGCACATCAAGTGGGGCTTTGTGCGCCACTGAGAGGACATTAGCATTTCCTCTGAAGGAGATGGGCACCATTGTGGGGTTTTGGGCAGGGGACTGACACAGTCTGACATAAGTTAACAGGATCCCTCTGACTGCTGGGTAAGAATAGACTGTAGGGGGCAAAGAGGAAGGAAGGAGCCTTGAGGAGGCTGAAGGTCATGGCCAGAGATGATGGCCTGGACTTGGGTGTAGCAAAGGATATGGCAATAAGTGATCAGATTCTGGATTTATTCTGAAAGCCCGAAGGATTTGATAATGAATAGGATGTAAGGTGTGTGAGAGAGGAGTTAAGGATGATTAATGTTTTAGCCTTAGCAATTAGAGGGGTAGAATCACCATTAACTGAGGCAGGAGAAGGCCAGGAGCTCAATTTTGGGAATATTAAGTTTGAGAAGCCTATTAGATAGGTACATGTTTAAGTATAGTTTTCAGAGGAGAGACCCAGGCTTGAGATGAAATTTGGCAGTAATCAGCCACATTAGATCACCAAGGGAGGGAATAGCAAATAAAAAAAGAGAGGTTCAGAGAGACAGCCCTGTGGCCCTCCAGTTTTAGGAGATCAGGAAGGACAAGAAGGGAGAAGAAAAAAAAAAAAAAGGTTGAGAAGTGACCAGGGAAGTAGTTAGGAAGATCCACAGATTGTGGTGTCCTGTAACCACTGAGGAAAGAGAATCAAGTGTGGCTGACAGGTCAGGCAAGATGATAACTGAGACATAACCATTGCATATAGCAACAAGGGACTCTTTGGTGACCTTGATAAGAACAGTTCCTCAGAAGAGAGACTAGATAACTGGAAGCTCCTAAAAATCAAACACTTATGCTTATCTAAAGACATCACCAAAAGAGTAAAAAGACAACCTACAGACTGGGAAAAAAAATTTGGCTACCACAAATCCGATCAGCGTCTAATCGCTAAAATCTACAACACACTGTAAAACCTCAACAACAAAAAGGCAAATAACCCAATTAAAAAATGGGCAAAGGATAGGAACAGGCACATCACCAAAGAAGATATTGAGGCGGCTAACAGACACGTGAAGAAATGCTCACGATCATTAGCCATTAGAGAAATGCAGATCAAAACTACAGTGAGATATCATCTCACCCCAACAAGGCTAGCATTAATCCAAAAAACACAAAATAAAAAATGCTGCAGAGGATGTGGAGAGACTGGAACACTTACATACTGCTGGTGGGAATATAAAATGGTACAACCACTTTGGAAATCAATTTGGCGCTTCCTTAAAAAGCTAGAAATAGAAGTACCATACAATCCAGCTATCCCACTCCTTGCAATATATCCAAGAGAAATAAGAGCCGTCACATGAATAGATACATGCACACCCATGTTCATTGCAGCACTGTTCACAATAGCAAAAAGATGGAAACAACCTAGGTGCCCATCAACGGACAAATGGATAAACAAATTATGGAACATCCACACAATGGAATACTACACAATAATAAAGAACAACAATGAAGCCATGAAACATCTTATAACATGGAGGAAGCTGGAGGTCATTATGCTGAGTCAATTTAGTCAGTCATAGAAGGACAAATATTGTTTAAGACCACTATTATAAGAACTCAAGAAAAGGTTTAAACACAGAAGAAAATATTCTTTGATGGTTACGAGGGTGGGGAGGGAGAGTGAGGGTTATTTACTAACTAGATAGTAGATAAAAATTATCTTAGGTGAAGGGAAGGACAGCACACACTACAGGGGAAGTCAGCACAACTGGACTAAACCAAAGCTCAGAAGTTTCCTGAATACAATCAAACACTTTGAGGGACAGGGTAGCAGGTGTAGGGGTCTAGGGACCATGCTTTCAGGGGATATCTAGGTCAATTGGCATAACAAAGCTTATTAAGAAAATGTTCTGCATCCTACTTTGGTAAGTGGTATCTGGGGTCTTAAAAGCTTGCAAGCGACCATCTAAGATGCATCAATTGGTCCCAACCACCTGGAGTAAAGGAGAATGAAGAACACCAAAGACACAAGGAAAGTATTAGCCCAAGAGACAGAAAGGGCCACATAAACCAGAGGCTTCATCAGCCTGAGACCAGAAGAACAAGATGGTGCCTAGCTACCACCAATGACTGCCCTGACAGGGAACACAACAGAGAGTTCTGGATGGAGCAGGAGAAAGGTGGGGTGCAGAACTCAAATTCTAGTAAGAAGACCAGACTTAATGGTCTGAGACTGGAGGAATCTTGGAAAGCACGGCCCCTGGATTCTCTATCAGCCCAGAACTAAAACAATTTCCAAGGCCAACTCTTCAGACAGGTATTGGACTGGACTGTGGGACACAAAGTGATATTTATGAGGAGTGTGCCTCTTAGCTCAAGGAGATACAAGAGACTAAATAGGCAGCTTCTGTCTGGAGGTGAGATGGGAAGGCAGAGAGGGTTAGGAGCTGGTTGAATGGACATGGGAAATCGGGTGGAAAGGAGGAGTGTGCTGTCACAGTAAGGGGAGAGCAATTAGGGTCACATAACAATGTATGTATAAATTTTTATATGGGAAAAAATAAAAAACTAATTGTATGATGATTTAAAAAAAGAAGTTCCTATACAGCGATGAGGAGAAAACCAGACTGTAGCAGATTCAAGAAAGAATAAAAAAAAAACAAAAACCTGGCCCCATAAAACCAAATGGGACTAATGAGGCACAGCAGTCCAGGGACAAGGGCAAGAGCATAGTCGATGTCACTGAACTGTGCATGTAGAAATTTTTGAAATGGTGTATCTTTGGCTATGTATATTTTCACCAAAAAAAAAAGTCGAGAAGGGAGAGGGTTGACATGTTGTGGGGTTGTTAACCAATATCATAAAACAATATGTGTACTACTGTTGCATGCGAAACTATTTGTTCTGTAAGCCTTCACCTGAAGTACAATAAAAAAAAAAAAAAAAAAAACCTGTTGCCGTCAAGTCAATTCTGACTCATAGTGACCCTATAGGACAGAGTAGAACTTCCCCATAGAGTTTCCAAGGAGTGTCTGGTGGATTCGAACTGCCAACCTTTTGGTTAGCAGCCGAACTCTTAACTACTACACCACCAGGGTAACTAGAGAGAAAGAATATAGACAACTCTTTCAAGCAGTTAGGGTGGAAAGGAAAGCAGAGAAATGTGTTATAGCTGATATCTGTTTTACAACAGATCTCATTGTTCATTCATTTTGTATTTAAATCTCTACTCTGAGGACAGGATAAAGTACACTCTTTGTGAGATAACAAACAATTAAAAACCGTGGACAGTATCCAGGTATTCACTGTATTATTCTCTCACCTTTTCTGTATGCTTGAAATTTTCTCAAAATAACAAGTTGGGAACAATAAACACACCCTACTCTATAGCAGGAACCCCCTTGCCAAGCTGACCTAATAACCCTGTTGCTGTCAAGATGATTTACAGAGTAGAACTGCCCCATAGGGTTTCCAAGGAGCAGCGGGTAGATTCAAACTGCCCATCTTTTGGTTAGCAGCCTGTGCTCTTAACCACTGCACCACCAAGGCTCCAACCTAATAACAGTCCACCTCTATAGGCTCTCCCAGGCTAGAGGGAAGCCCAGAGGGGAAAAGATGTATCATATATGCTGGATGGAAAGATGAGTAACACGTATCAGGAACAGTATCAGAAAGTGACTGGATCAGGCTAGTCCAGAAGGCCTGTAGGGGAGTGGAGTGCAAGAAGGCTAGGGCAAGGCCTAAACCTGTTGCCATCGAGTCAATTCCAACTCATGGTGACCCCATGTGTTACAGAGTAGAACTGAGCTCCATAGGGTTTTCTTGGCTGTAATCTTTATGGAATCAGATCACCAGGCCTTTCTTCTGTGGCACTGCTGGGTGGGTTCGAACAGCCAACGTTTCAGTTAGCAGTCGAGCACAAACAATTTGCACCACCCAGGGAAGCTCTTGACAAGGCTCAAAAGTCTGTCTATTGTGCATGATGGGCTTTTTCTAGGAGGTGATGGGGAACCATGGCAGAAT